CTGTCAGGGTGGCCAGGATCTGCAACCAACTTCCAAGCAAAGTGGTGCTGGCTCCTACCCTGGGGGTCTTTAAGAGGAGGCTAGATGATCACCTTGCTGGGATCATTTGACCCCAGTACTCTTTCCTGCCGTGGCAGGGGTTTGGACTTGATGATCTGCTCAGGTCTCTTCTGACCCTACCAACTATGAAACTACTCTTGTCATGGCTTTTGAGGACACACCCAAATAACATTTGGGCCAAGTAAGACATGCAATTACACTCTGAAATGTAAAACAGTGGTGGAATATGTTTAGAAGACTGGAGGCAAATATGGTCTTGCTGCAAAAGCTGGTTGGATGACAGTGTCATTCTGTATATATGGTTGTAGCCTCCTGTTTCTTGTACAGCAGTGCTTCTCAAAGTGGTGGTCCGTAGACTGGTGCCGGTGCGCGAGCCACCGGTCGCCGGTCCACAGCAAGTTGCCAGGAAAGAAAGAAATATAAATGTTATGCTTCTGAAAATATATGTCATAGCGCCACAGTTCATACATTCCAACACTCCAGGTGACGTCACGTCGTGCAAGGTGAGGAAAGAGAAAGAATTAGCCGGTCATGCATTTGTGTAGCGCTGTTACATGCAGTTGCTGCCACTGGCTGAACCGGGCACCGGTCCGTGGCCCACTGGGAAAAAAATTGCCGGTCCACCACATCAGATAGTTTGAGAAGCACTGTTGTACAGCATCTGTGAAGCTAGAGGAAGGTATTTTTATATGGAGCAGACCATGGATGACAACAACAGACTTCTGTACCAGTTTGTACAGGAGGAAAGTCATCTGGATCCTGGGTTCAAGGCAATCTAGAGAAGTTATGGCTGCTGTATATAATCACATTTGTGCTACAAATGGCAATGAGCAACCTCACCTGCTTACATATTTGTCATTTCTTAGGCAGCTAGAAAACTTAGAATAATAGAAAATGATGGTTGGAGGGGACCTCAGGAGGTAATCTAGTCTAACCCCCTGCTCAAAGCAGGATCGTTCCCAACTAGATCGTCCCAGCCAAAGCTTTGTTGAGCCGGGTCTTAAAAACCTCCATGGATGGAGATTCTGCCACCTCTCTGGGTAGCCTGTCCCAGTGCTTTACTACCATCCTAGTGAGAAAATTCTTCCTAATATCTAACCTAAATCCCTTGTTCTATCATCTGCCCCCACTGAGAACAGTCTAGCTCCATCTTCTTTCGAACCCCCCTTCAGATAGTTGAAGGTTGCTATTAAATCCCCTCTATCTCCTCTTCCCTTGACTAAATAAGCCCAGTTCCCTCAGTCTTTCCTCATAAATCATGTGCCCCAGTCCCCTCACCATTTTCATTGCCCTCCAGTAGACCCTTTCTAATTTCCCCACATCCTTTCTGTAGTGGGAGCCCCAAAACTGGGCACAGTACTCCAGCTGTGGCCTCACCAGTGCTCAATAGAGGGGAATAATCACTTCCCTTAATCTGCTGGCAACACTCCTGGTGATGCAGCCCAGTATGATTTTAGCCTTATTCACAACAAGGGCACACTGCTGGCTCATATTCAGTTTGTTGCCCACTGTAACCCTGAGGTCCTTTTCTGCAGAGCTGCTGCCCAGCCAGTCAGCCCCCACCCTGTACCCGTGCATGGGATTATTCCATCCTAAATGCAGCTTGTAACATGCTCTTTTCCTTGTTAAGAGGCCCCTTGTATTTTTAACTTATGTAGTTGCAGTTTGCTGAAGATCATGAGGTATCTTGATCCCAATTAATGCTGTGGATCTTGATAACATAATGAGTTTCTTGCCAAATCTTAATCTTAATTTTAAACTTCTGTTTACTAGTTTGTGTAGAGTACCTTGGGTTTGGTTATATAACAATACAATCTTTGCCTGGCTGAATCTTCCCTTTTTGTTAAAATTTGGCAGGCACCAGGAGATCAGCACCATGAGTAAAAACTTTAGAAGAGTGCCACCACACCTGCCAACCATACACATTTTAAATGATGATGATGAACTATATAGAACAATATTCAAACAAAATTGCAAAGGGGAATTGAAAGATACAGTTTTTGAAAGGGGGGGGGCGCAGAGGGAGGAATGCCTCCCCTTCCAGCTTCTGAATCTCAGTGCCACAAAGATGTGTCTACCAATGGAGAGACAGCAGCAACAACAATGCTATACTAGATTACATGGAGTTGGATTGTTTTAGCCCTGATTGTCCAGGAAGTATACAAGTAAAGTTTTTATTTGTTCCTCCTCAGATATCTTTTATAGAGACAACTGTATAATAGTTAGGAAGTTTAACAAGCATTTGGGCACCCGCTGGCCTTCTCCCTAACATAATGGAAGGCAATGGGCACACAAAAGTTTGTCAAACCCCTTCCCCAAGAGTATCACTTAAAAGATACCAAAAAAAAACCACCCCTCGCTTCTCATACATTGGAATATGGCCGTTCTGAATCAAGCCAGGCCAATTCAATAGGAACAACTCTGATTATGGTACCAGTATTTTGGGTTTTGTGCAAAACATGCCAGCCTCAAAAAATGTTCCCCCACCATCCACCAATAAGCAGCACCATTTCCATTTTCAGCATCTCTCACCCTTAAATTGGGTTTCATAATTGTAGAACATGAGTGTGGGGTGATTTAGCCTTTCAAAACAATTTAATTATTATAGATAATTATGGGAGTATATCTGGAACTTGCTCAAAGACCAAGAAAAATCCACAATCTTCCAGAGTTGTGCGTGTTGCTTTTGAATACAAAAAACTAGAGCCTGCACACACAACCACCTCCTACATGTTACCTATATTTATATACTTATTTTATAAGTTAGTAAAGACACAGCAAAATCCACAATCTTCCAAAATTATTTCTGTGTTGCTTTTGAATGCTGGAGGCTGCCCATACAGCCACCTCCTAAAAGGTTACCCTTTATTTAGTTAGTAAATGTACATTAGATATCAAAACACTGCCATGCCTTTTCTCCCCTTTCAGCATCAATTTATGCTTTATTAGATCGATCTCACAGACACAGATAACGAACCTGGTTTTGTCCATGCTCATTTCTGCAACCATATATCCACAGTCATGTTGTGCCATCAAGACACATGCTGCAGCGATCAGAGGGAAACAATTTGATCACACAGACTAAGGGGCTGTTTGAAAAGGGTTCATTTTCCCTCCTCCTTCCTCTCCCTTCCCGCTCCGCCCACACACACTCTCTCACACCGCAGATCAACTCTCTCTGTCTCCTTTTTAGAAAATGGCGAGAGCTGCACGAGGAAGATGGAGAAAGAAGATGGTGCGTCGGGAGACTTGATTGGTCAGAATTTGGTGCAGGGACCTGAAACACAGAAGCAGAATTGAGACGGCAGCAACAAGCCCCTAAGCCCGTGCGTCAGCCACCAACATGGAGGAACCAGATTCCGAGTTACATGTATTGTCTCACGGCTTCTTAATGGGAGATTTCAATCTAAACCACGTACAATACAACCGAACCTGTCCCTCACATGACAAGAGCACCTGGGGCAGCACTTGATCTTTTTTAAACTTAATTTCACAGAAAAGAGTTATTTTATGGTAGAAGGCGACACAAGACGCTTTTAGCGTGCTCGCTGGCATGCATGCCTGACCGGGTTGCACAACCAACAAGTGCTGGAGGGCAGAGGGAGTCGGAGGACGCAAACAAAAATCCCGATTAGAAAGAGTTCTCCTGAGGTAACATTTGCTACAATCCCGACTATGGAAAAAACTGCATTTCCATTTTAATATAGGAATTACCTTCAGTGTCACCTTCTAAATAGGACGTATTTTCCTCCTTGAGGAAGCACGGTATACACATCAGGCTCATCAGGATGAGCAGTTTTATTGTTCATCTTGGGAAACCGATGCGAGTGGGGAAGAAGGGCTCGAATTTGCAGCTGCTTTTTTAATTATTGGTCCGGGGTGACTCCAGGAAAAACAGCGTCACCCTCCCCACCCCCAACGCTTGGTAGTTGTGGCTGTAGGCAAAAAAAACAGTGAAAGGGATGAAAAAAGTGAGCAGTGAAAACAGGGTTGGTCGCCCTGTACTAGACCCCAGGACTGATCTAGGAGGCGATGCGAAGTGGCCTCCGCTGCCGAGAGCGGAGCAGCCAAGGACACCGCTGCGGTCCTTGCTCTGAAGAAGCGGAAGCGCAAGTCTCACAGATTCGGGGATCAAACAGCATTTCCCAAACAGGTTATTTCGTGAGTCTCCCACACGTCCTCCTCCCCCCTCCCAAAGCTATCCGGGGCGTTACAATACGCTCACGATGCATCTAATTTAGAAACCTGGCGTTTCATTCATTATGTTTCCTAGCCTATAAAACCGTAAGGAACAGAAAACCTCACATCACCCATATTTTACATGGTAGGTCATATACTACACATACTGCTACTACTCAACCACAGGAAGAAATAGTTAAGACACCGATATTTAAATGTGAAGCACCCCAGCCTCTTACCTGCCGGAGGTGGGGGGAGGGAAGGGAAAAACTGCAGTACTGCATAGCAAGCACTGTATGCAGCCGAAACAAGGAAACCGAGTCTCCTTGGGATTACAAGAAAGCACCCATGAACTGTTAGTTTCAGTGAACGCTACAGACACCATTATGCTCTACGGGGTCTTAAAACTAAAAGCAAAAACATGAATCAAACCGACTACGGGTGTCCGCGGGCACACCCATACACGCACAACACATACACGCACACAGGCCATACAAAAGCTTGATACAGCTCTCTTCAGTGCGACTGTGGTGGCTCTTAAAAGAGCCTTTGGGTTTCAGAATGTCAGGTAGGGGTAGTCTTCGGCTTTTACGCCCTCTCGCCACGGATGCGGCGGGCCAGCTGGATGTCCTTGGGCATGATGGTGACTCGCTTGGCGTGGATGGCGCACAGGTTGGTGTCCTCGAAGAGCCCCACCAGGTAGGCCTCACTGGCCTCCTGCAGCGCCATGACGGCCGAGCTCTGGAAGCGCAGGTCCGTCTTGAAGTCCTGCGCGATCTCGCGCACCAGGCGCTGGAAGGGCAGCTTGCGGATCAGTAGTTCTGTCGACTTCTGGTAGCGCCGGATCTCGCGCAGCGCCACGGTGCCGGGCCGGTAGCGGTGCGGCTTTTTCACGCCACCCGTGGCGGGCGCGCTCTTGCGGGCCGCCTTGGTAGCCAGCTGCTTCCGAGGCGCTTTACCGCCGGTCGACTTGCGCGCTGTCTGCTTCGTACGGGCCATGCCAGATACACAATATCACTAACACAAAACAAAGAACAAGAATGAGGCGAGAGGCTCCTAGGAGCCAGTATTTATAGCCCAAGTCCCTTCCCTGATTGGCTGACGGGAAAACACAAACGCCATTGGTCAATCTTAAATATTTGAAAAGCCCGCGCTCCGCAGTTGTGGGGGAGAATAGGAAAACGGCTCTGCACGCCTTGCCTCAAGGCGCGCGTTTTGCAGTACGCGTGCGCGCCCAACAACACCTCCTCCCCAGGCACCCGGGAAACGCTTCTCCCTCCCCCTCCATTTTCCTTCCCCCTGATTTTTGCTTTAAATGCGTGAGCTTCTGAATATCCCCAACCCAAGTTATGAACTCTCACTGCAGCAAAACTCAGCCGAGACTCCCGCCACAGGAATTCATAGCACATAGGCGAGCTGCAGTACGAGAAGGAAGCGGTCTTCTTTCTAAGTTGTAAAAAATGTGGGGTGATTGAAGTAACAAGTGCTTTCTCTCCGCTGATCTCGCAAAATAAAGCAGCATACGCCTCATGCTGCCTGCATCCTTCCATTTAGAACAGGAGAAATGGGGGTGGAAATGCACATGTATGTTCACGTATATGTGCATGCCCGTGCTGTTTACGGATCTATACACGTACAGTAAGTAGGTGATAGTACTCCTCCCTACTGGACCTGTGTAATGATTGGGCCAGAACACAGGAAACGTATAAGAAGGTTGTGTAGTGATTCAGATTTCATTTGTTTACCATAGGGAGATGAAACCCTGGAAAATGGCGCTGCTAAGAGTCATCGATTTTGCTCTTTATGACTTATTCCCTTATGAAACTGCTTAAGCTTCGCCATGATGTAACTGATAATTATTTATGCAGCTGCTTCTTCTTTTCTCTTGCTATAAATTAAAATGCATTTTTTTCATTAAAGCCGAAACAAAATTTCTACTTACCACGTTGTGGGGAGGGGAGGGGAGGGGAAGGGATAGAATAGCGATAATAGCTCTTTAGATGAAAAGGTGGGCGGCTCTTAAAAGAGCCATTTCGAATATGTTTGGTAATGATTTACTTGGAGCTGGTGTACTTGGTGACAGCCTTAGTGCCCTCGGACACGGCGTGCTTGGCCAGCTCCCCGGGCAGCAGCAGGCGCACGGCAGTCTGGATCTCCCGGGACGTGATGGTCGAGCGCTTGTTGTAGTGCGCCAGACGGGAGGCCTCGCCAGCGATGCGCTCGAAAATGTCGTTGACGAAAGAGTTCATGATGCCCATGGCCTTAGATGAGATGCCGGTGTCCGGGTGCACCTGCTTCAGCACCTTGTACACGTAGATAGAGTAGCTCTCCTTCCTTGCTCTCTTCCGTTTCTTATCCCCCTTCTTTTGGGTCTTGGTGACCGCTTTCTTGGAGCCTTTCTTCGCAGCTGGAGCGGACTTGGCGGGTTCCGGCATCTTGACGATTGACTGGTTTCCGTTGAAATCAACAACAACCTGAACTCAATTAGAGCCGCCTCTATTTATAGGTGCATCATGCAAATAAAGGGAGTCTAGCTTTAACCTGCTATTGGACTTTCACTGCCATGACGTCATTCACTGTATGCCTCCATTGGACCAAAAAATCATTCTCCTTATTGGTTGTCTGTGCACCCACGGCTTTCGGCCAATCACAAGAGACTTTTTCAACCCAAGCCAGAAGATAAAAAGGCAGGATTCAACTCGCCAGCATGTGGAGTTTTTATTTTTTTCGCACTGTTTTTCTTCGTGCTGTTGTGTAGAGAGAATGTCGGGCCGTGGTAAGCAGGGAGGAAAGGCACGGGCTAAGGCCAAGTCTCGCTCCTCGCGGGCTGGACTGCAGTTCCCGGTGGGCCGGGTGCATCGGTTGCTCCGCAAAGGTAATTACGCAGAGCGGGTCGGAGCCGGGGCCCCGGTCTACCTGGCGGCCGTGCTGGAGTACCTGACGGCCGAGATCCTGGAGCTGGCGGGTAACGCGGCGCGGGACAACAAGAAGACGCGCATCATCCCCCGCCACCTGCAGCTGGCTATCCGCAACGATGAGGAGCTCAACAAGCTGCTGGGCAAAGTGACGATCGCGCAGGGCGGTGTCCTGCCCAACATCCAGGCCGTGCTGCTGCCCAAGAAGACTGAGAGCCATAAGGCCAAGGCCAAGTAAAACTTGATAACAAAACACCCCAAAGGCTCTTTTCAGAGCCACCCACAGTGTCCGAAAAGAGCTAGATAACTAGTTTTCTTACAGACCTGGCTGTAGAACAATAGTCGTATTGCAGTTTTAGACGTGTATTATCGGTGGGTCAGTCCTGAGCGATAACCATTAACCTAGCAGTTATGTCTTTCTAAAAACACAACCTTAGTTATTAGTCGCTTCAGTTTCCTATTAAATCTACTGTATCCATTTTTCTAATTTTAGTTTAAAGGTGGGGGAGGGAGAGGTAACAAGTTTCAGAACTTATTTGAAGGTCACTCGGCAAGTCCTGTTAAGCTCAAGGGGGGGGTGGGGGCAGGGAAAAGAAATAAAAGCAAGCGGAGCAGAAAGGGATCAGTGGCAAGGAACAGTCTAGCACTGACTATAAATAGGGGTTAGCTTGGCTTTAGGAAATGGGTCCCGAAAAATCCTAAAACTGCAGACTAATGGCGGGACGACTCCTTGGCAGAGACGGAATAAGTCCCAAGTGGGGGAGGGGAGGAGAGGAGAATGTTTCTGACCAATCCCCACAAAGCGCGGTCTTTTCAAACTCTTCGTCCGGTGAAGCCCCACCTCAGAGTAAAACCAAATAGAAAGCCGGATACTGTTTCTAAATAAATCAGCAAGAGTTTCTCTCGCCTTCAGACTGGCGGGGGAGGGGATAGGAAGATTGGCGGTCAAAAAAAGCAGGAGAGGGGAAATAAAATAAAATACTATGACATGGTGGGTGGGCGAGTGAGCTTTGTTAAAGAGGATTTCCACTCCTTTAGATCATTCAGATAGGTACTTTTAGCTCCCTGGTGCAATGGTAGCTACCTGTGGAATGCAATAAAGCAGGGTGGTGTGTGTATCCCTAATGTGCAAGGCAAGGAGCTGCAGATGGGAGTTTTTTGGAAGGGGCAACAGATCTATTTCAGGGTGAGCTCAGTTTGGAATTATAGTGCTGCTGCAACTATAGCTCAGCATGGTGTGAGAGGGGTGTCTCAGCTCTTTTCCAGATGGGGCGGGTGGCTCTTAAAAGAGCCCTTGGGTTTCTTCACAAAAGAACCTTGACGTTTCTTCCTCCAATGAATTTACTTCTTCTTTGTCTTCCCTTTCGCTGGTTTGGGCTTGCCAGCCTTAGGCTTCCCTGCCTTGGCTTTGGCTGGGCTCTTGCTTGTCTTCTTGAGCTTAGCAGCCTTGGCCTTCTTGGGGCTCTTGGCCATGCTCTTCTTGGCTGCGGTGGCCAGCCATGGCAGCTGCCAGCTTCTTGGCTTTCTTGGGGATCTTCTTCATAGCTGCCGCCTTGGGCTTCTTGGCCTCGCTGGCAGGCTTCATGACTGTGGGCTTCTTAGGTGCCTTCTCCTTGGCCTCGCCCAGCTTCTTACCTAGCTTGAAAGGAGCCAGAGGCACCAGTACCCTTGTACCAAGGCACCCTTGCTCACCAGGCTCTTGAGCCCCAGCTTAAAGCAGTTGTTGTTCTTCTCCACATCATAGCCCTCGGCTGCCAGCACCTTCTTTAGGGAGGCCAGCGAGAGCCCTTTGTGCTCTTTGGAGGTGAACTTGGCCTAAGTGATGATTAGCTTGGTCATGCTGGGACATGAGGGCTCACAGGCTTTGGAGCCCCCTGTAGCTGCCTTCTTCCCTTTCTTATCTAGAGCCTTAGACGCTGGGCAGGAACAGCAGCGGTGGAAGTTGCAGGGGCAGCAGGTGTTATTTCAGACATGATTAGAAAGGTTTTCAAACCAATAAAACAAAAAACAAAAACATTAAGGGGAAAAAAAGCAAGACAGATCCCTGCTATTTATAAGGAGGAGAAACTATGATATTGGTATGCTGAAGAACCCTCCCAGCTGCTAGGCAGAAAGAATTCATCTTCCTGCTTCACTTGTGCTTCTTTTGGGAAGACAAAGTGTTATTTATGTAAAATAGCTGTAACCAAACTGCTCTTTTCCTCATCCAGATGAAGGTGCAAGGAGATTTACACATGCTTCCCTACTTAAAAAAAAAAAAAAAAAAAAAGGAAACTTATGTTAAGAAAGAACAAACAAATGCCTTTTCCTTATGCTGGATAGACACCTCAGAAACAAAGTTTTGCATTGCTTTCAAATTACAAAGGCACCTTAGTAAATACCATCAGAGAAATAGTGCTGCACTGGTCTTGGCAATGCATTCTCCTGACTAGAGAAGGACACTAGCAACTTTCATATGTGTTCATTAAAAATCCACCTCAGGAAGACAGAAGTAGCACCAGACCTCAGAAACTGGACATGAAATCTGGAAAACAAGAGATCTAAAGCCAAATTAGTCATTTAAATATTTTCCTTGTTTTTCTATCAGGCATATTATTCGAGGACTACACCAGGGCTTTCATTTAAATAGCACTGAGGTATTGTCCCAAGGTGGTAAAAAGCTCCACTGCGGATACTTCTTGCAATCAACAGTGGTTTGATGTAGGACTAAGAGAAGCAAATGGCTCTTACGTTAATTGTATTCAAAATATTAACTTGTTTTTGAACTTTTATAAGGAATGCAAGTCTTTTGCTTGCATTCACAGACATTATAAGAGTCTTTAGTAATTTCAGAGGCAATTGGTGGATCTGACCAAGATGATATCAGAGAGTATGTCTGGTGGGTTTGAAACATCCCCACTTTTAATCAACCAGGACTATGGGTTCCCCTGCTTTTAGTTCTGAGGTCAGACAGGTTTCACCCACCACATCTCCTGCTTCAGGAATGCTCTGCAGAAAACCAGGAACCTGCTGATATGCAGACACAGGAATCCTTCAACTGAGGACTGCATCAAAATGGGACTGAGTGAGATGCAGGGACACTACAGAAAAATGGTTGAAGACACAGGAGGAAATGGCAGGGCACATATGGAAGAGAAGGGACTGGCACAGATTGTTCAGTGGCAGGACCAAGAGTGACAATGAAAGGACTGGGGAAACAAGCAGGGGATTGGGAGGGGTGGGGGGAGGAAATGTGATTGTGACAGGTAAAGGTTGTGGTGACAGGCACGCAGCAAGGTGTAACAGGAATGAGAAATGGTGCAACTGTAAAGGTGTGTTTTGGATTGTCAAGTGAACCATGTTGGTCACAACACAGATTTGGAGAGGGGGTGTGTGTGTGTAAGAGAGAGAGAGGTTTTAGATAAAGGGAATATAATAATAATACAATATAGCACCTACAATGAATGCCTATGTGCTTGCAGCCTGGTGTTCCAGATAGCCTGCACTCATGTGAAGACCTCGAAAGAATGTGCCTCAGGTTTTAAAACCATAGGCCACATCTCTAGCAACAGCAGGCTTTCTTTTGGCACTTCCAGTGTAGGTGACAGAGTCACAGATCACCACTGCCTGGAAGTCACCTGCGTGAGTCTCTCCACACACATGCCCCAGTCACTGTGGGTCTAGCCAGTGGAGGACTATCCGGTTCAGCAATTTCTGGGGCACTCAGAACTAGCTTTTCCTGTCCCTTTACCAGCTTTCCTTTGCTTGACATTTTAAACTAAAATACAGTTTCCTAGGAGAGAGAAAAAAACCTTACAACCTTGCTATTAGTAGCAGCTACAAGTTTAGTTTACAAGCAGGAAATTTCTATTTGCCTGCATATCTGTATTGAACCTCTCCGACTGAAAACACAGACAAGGCAGGTTGTTGGAATAAGTCTCTTCCTATTTTCATGTCACATTTTTCTTAATAAAAGATCAAATCCTATTGTAACTCCAGTAGAAACCCACTTTGACTGGCAATATTAAATTGGTCCCTATTTGTCTAGGAAAACACATTATACTTTATCTGAACCTCCAAGAGCCCAAGAAGCAATGAAGCTTGCAGACCATTCCTATGAAGAGCTGCTATCGATGCTCCTCCCGGGCTTTCCCTTGTTCCCCAGACAGGACCTTTTCACAAGCTCACCAGGCCCCGCGAGTACTCATTTTCGCGCCCTTTTTCTTGGAAACTGTATTTTTCTTGCACGGGGGTTATATTTAAACGGGCCAATCCAAGGTCGACAAGCAAGTTCCACTTAGGGTTACTCTTAGTCCTAAAGTGAAGCCTGGCTGACATTACTGCAGCAGCTTGATTCAGCAGCTTGGAGTCTGCAGCAAATTCTGACCAATCAGCTTCCCTGACACATAATTTGTATCCTCCATGATTTTCCCCAGCACCAGCTTCGTGCCCTAAAGCCTCGGCGGGGAGGATGAAGCTCCGACGTCTAGGTTTCATCAGAAATCAGCAGCACCCCCGTATTTGAGCAGAATATGTGTTTTTTTCTTTCGTGTTTATACTTTGAATGCCTGGAATGGTTCCCTATTGACATAATATATTGTGGCTGATGATTTATTTAAATGGCAGTTTGGACTGCTTAAAAAAAACTCACTAAAACCCACTAAAAACTCTCTCCATTAGAAAGTGAGAACATTTCCTCACCATTGGAAGGGGTGAAATGACATTTATTTAAATATACTATATTGCTATGTTACATATACTAAAATACAGAACAATCCAACACAAAACAATCACTCTGGAAAAAAAATAATTTTGTGCAAGGCCAATTCATGTTTCCTATGTTTTAGTGGGCAGATGAGTGGTTCTGTTTACCTCGGTCTTGTTTTAGTTCACCTCTGCCAGTATTCAAAAAAGAAACAACTGGAAAGTACAGGAGAACCAGTTTCTTGTACCAAGTCTTGGTTTTTGGTCTTTACTGTTTATTACTACTGCTGTTACTACTACTAATACCGAAAACTTATTGAGTTGGTGAACTGCACTGTTTTCAAGTTGCCCCGCCTCCCCCTTTCCTGCTTCCTCATCATTTTTCTCATTTTAACGAGTTCAGTGAGCATTAACACTTTAAAGAAACCTTACTTCATTATTCCATCATTTCCCTCACGCACAATTATGTTCATTCAACATAACACTTTTTTTTTTGGAGCGGGGGGGAGGTAAAAGGGGATCCTGCTTATTGCATGAGGTTAAATCAACACCAGAAACATCTTTTCAGGTCTCTTCTTCATTCAGTTCTTAAACTATCCAGACTTATGGCATGCAGACTTATCTCTAATTAGGTTTGCATGTCCGGTGCTGACATACTTCTGTCTAGACAAAACA